AGTTCTATAAATCTTGTTCTTTTAATATACGTTCAAAAATGATTTTAGATATTTTTACCTTTTTTATTCAATATTGTTGTTTGAGGCAATTTGAAGTGTTTTTTGTTTGTGATTGCTCTTACCCAGTATAATTTTTTTTTAATGAACCATCTGTATTCCACCGAGGCATGGTGACCTAAAAAGAAAAAACAAAGTTTTTCTTTTTAAATTTGGTGATTCACACAGGAAAAGGGGTTACTAGCCTCTTGCTCCTGGCATTTTAGTCTCCTCTCACAACACTCATAGAAGAATAAGATTATAATATATTATTTAGTATTAGTAAAGAAGTATTCGTGGAAATCAGCTATGTAGCAAAATGTATACAGACTTTACACTTCAAATGACCCTCTAAACTGTGGTCTCGCTGAAAAAAAAAAGTCTACACATTATGCATGTCCTCCAAGGAAAAGATGGATTTTTAGTTCTTATTGAATTTTAGTATTTAGGGAAAAACCCTCCAGGTATTATTTGTGAGCAGAAATGATTAATGCATAAAATACTTCTATAATAGTTTTTTCCCAAATCATGCAATTTTCGGTTGCTTCAGGCAGATATTTCTGAACTCCTTAAGGCATGAATTATTTGTCTTTGCAGCCCTGCAGGTTGGGACAATGACAAAAAGATTTCTATTCTCTATGAAAATATGCATACAATGACCCCAGATGACTACTACACAGATGTTGTGGTGAAGCCTCCAGTAGTTCGTAAGGTAAGAGTTGCATTTCGTGTTCCTAATAGCATCTTGTTGGACTTAGTAAAGTTTTATATGGCCTGTTAATGCCTTCTTCCATTTTCATTATATGGCATTTATTTACATTAAAGATGATGATCTTTTATCTGCATTTAATAATATACGTAACTGTTGCTGTATTTACTCTGTTTATTTATGGTATATAGTGTTACTGCAAATTGGTTTCTGATAAGTTGTGGGGCTTCTAATTTTGCCAGCAAAATGTAGAAATGTGTTCATTTGCAGGCTGTTGCGAGGGAGGTAGAAGTTCAAGCTGAGGATGAGCAAGCCTTTTTGGCACGGCATCTGGCACAGCTGCAGGCAGGTAGTACTGGTGCTCCTAATACACCCCAGGGTCGTCAGGAATCCCCTCTGAGACAATCACCAGCTGTTCAGAAGACCAGCGAGCGTCGAGTGTCAACAGGTGTCCCTCCTAATCAAATTGGCTCACCAAAGAAGGTCAGTGTCACTAGACATGTCTGTAGAAGTGCTGCAAAGCAATCATTGTGTGTGAAAAATGTTGTATTGTATCTTGATGTACATAAAATTTGATAAAGCTATGTAACAGTATGATTAGTAAGTTTTATACATGTTTATCATGTTAAAAATCTTTAAGAATGGTTGTTGCAGTACTTTGAATAATTATTATAATGTAGATTTAATTTTTTATAGTTTCATGTTGCACATTTTATTCTTAGGAATTATTTTTATAAATGCCGAAGTCAATAATGTGATCAGTGATTGCCGAAGATTATGACTAACTAGTGATAACTAAAACTTGTGGTAATCTTATGCAAGATTTAGGTTATGTAAATGTCAGATTTTTTGGAGATCGTGCATTCACAAGAGACAAGTAAGACAAAAATACGGATTTAGGGGCTGTATTGACAACAGTTTTAAGGTAAAAGGCAGTTTAGAAAATGGATTCGAATGTCATTGTTTAGGGCTTTTACACGTTATTATAATCTACAAGTTATTAGAATCATCTTATCTGGTTCTTGAACAACTAGATTTAGAATTAATGTTTTGGCATGTGTTGATGAATGATGGCATTATAGTTGGTAAAATTTTGATTTAGCAGACCTCATTTTAACAGATTTTTTATATAGCGGATCAAATCTGTTTGGACAGTTCAAAAAAATGGCGGACAAAATCTGTTGTTTCCAGAATTGTCTATTATTGTTATGATCTATTGGGTAAATTGATTTTATATTCAACAGACAAACAGTACTAGACACTTCATCACTATTAGTCTATTAAATTGAAGTTTCACTGCTAGTTATGCATAGACCAACACTGGCAATTAAATTATTAACTAAGCATAAAGGCCAATTGAAGTAAAAAAAAAAAAAAAATAGTACGTACATATAATGGATAGTGGGAGATTTAAAAATAAATTTTGATAATTTCTTCATAATAGTAAAAAATATTAAGACTATTTAAATTCTGTAGAAACTTGTAAAATGTGTGTGTGGTATGATGGACCTGGGTGAATTATTTAAAAAAAAGTAGATGACATACTGAGGAATTAATGTTACAAAGAATAGTTTTATACAGTGGTAAATGTTTGGTTGATTGTGCATTTTTATAGATATGCTCTTTCTGTTGTTCAGGGCGAGGAACAATTGCCCTTTTAGCTTTTAAAAGGGCTGTTTTTTAATTCCACATTACATTTTCCTTCTTCCCATGATAGCCTGTTTGTAATTACAGGAGCAGAGCTATGCTCATTATGGCTTGCCTTAATTAGTTGTATAATTTGTCAGTATCTACTGTAATACTTTTAATATTGTTACAACTTTAGTGTTTGTTGCCTTGGAAGAAGTTCCTATGATAGTTGATATTTACTTTTTTTTTTTTTTTTTTTTTTTTAATTTATTTCCAAAGATAACATGTGCTAAGATGGTAAAAAATGTTATTTAGTCACTTAAAAAGTATAATTTTGAAGAATTAAAAACTTCCCATTTTTCTATTCCCTAATTGAGAAAGAATTTTTGATTGCTAGGTAAAATGAAGCATACTGTAATGTAAATCTCTGCTGGTACTTGTATTTATTACAGTCACTAATGAGCATTAGTTGAGAAAGAAGTGCATGTGTTGTTACCTTCATTCCCTTATGGGAAAGTTACGTCAGAAGTTGTACAGGTGTTAGAATGAACCCGTTCCTTGTAGTACTTCCAAATATTTTGATTTAACTCTGTAAAAATCATTGTAGATTATAGATAATGTATTTTCCACTTGCTTTTAGATGTGGAGGCCGCCTTCTGTAAGTGTGCAATAGATTTATACTGCCTTGAGTGTCATGTGTGGCTAGTTTCTGCTTTTGCCCCCAAAATTCAAGTGCTCTTTAGCTTAATTATATACTCAAATAAAAATCTATGCTTGAAACAGGATTGAGTAAAACAAACTCATTTTGTTTGAATTTATCATTTACACTATTGCAATTATGAGTACACACCATATGAATGCATTTATATGTACACATACCTGTATGTATACATGTTACAAATACACGTGCATGCACACATGCACACGTGCGTGCGCACATGCACCCATATAGAGGCTTTTAAAAGTACATTAGTAAATATTGAGAATAAAATTCGTTGTAATTATTAGCATTATAGTAAAGATCATTTACTTGATCTGGAAATGGCAAGTGGTTAGGAAAATAAATTAATGGAAACGAAAGAAAAGTTTTAGGTAGTACGTTGGTAGACAAAACTGCGCAGGGAGGTACTACCATCCTGCTGAGTGAGTGTAAAACAGAAGCCTGTAGTACCTGTTTTAAATGATGGTAGAATTGCTGGTGTCTTTTCTTTCTCTCATAAATATGCAAGGTTTCAGGTATGTCTTGCTGCTTTCACTTACACTTAGATCACACTACATATGTATGTTTTTTTTTTTTACCTCCCAACAAGTCTGCTGTCTCCCACCAAGGCAGGGTGACCCAAAAAGAAAGAAAAAATCTCCAAAAAGAAAATACTTTCATCGTCAACACTTTCACCTCACTCATACATAATCACTGTTTTTGCAGAGGCACCCAGATACAACAGTTTAGAAGCATGTACTATAAAGCTGTATAACATATCCCTCCAAACTGCCAGTATCCCAAACCCCTCCTTTAAAGTGCAGGCATTGTACTTCCCACTTCCAGTACCCAAGTCTGGCTATATAAAAATAGCCGGTTACTCTGAATCCCTTCACTAAATATTACCCTGCTCACACTCCAACAGCTCGTCAGGTCCCAAAAACCATTGGTCTCCATTCACTTCTAACACGCTCACACACGCTTGCTGGAAGTCGAAGCCCCTCACCCACAAAACCCCCTTTACCCCCTTCCTCCAACCTTTTCGAGGACGACCCCTACCCTGCCTTCCTTTCCCTACAGATTTATAAGCTCTCCATGTCATTCTACCTTGATCCATTTTCTCTAAATGACCAAACCACCTCAACAACCTCTCTTCAGCCCTCTGACTAATACTTTTAGGAACTCCACATCTTCTAATTTCCACACTCTGAATTCTCGGCATAATATTTACACCAAATTCTTGGCATAATAATTACACACTCTGAATTCTCAGCATAATATTTACACCACACATTGCCCTTAGACAGGACATCTTTGCCTCCAACCACCACCTTGCTGCAGCATTTACAGTCCAAGCTTCACACCCATACTAGAGTGTTGGTACCACTATTTCATACATTCTCTTCTTTGCCTCCATGAATGATGATTTTTTGTCTCCACATGTACCTCAACGTGCCACTCACCTTTTTTCCTTCATCAATTCTATGGTTAACCTCATCCTTCATAAACCCATCCGCTGACACATCAACTCCCAGATATCCAAAAATGTTCACTTCTCCCATACTCCCTCTCTCCAATGTGATATCCAATTTTTCTTTATCTAAATCATATGATACCCTCATCACCTTACTCTTTTCTATGTTCACTTTCAACTTTCTACCTTTACATGCAAGCATATACAGTGGAACCTCAAATTTCAAATGTATCGTTTATCGAACTCTTCGAAAATAGAACCCTTTTTTCTAACCAACTTTGTCCCTTTTATCGAACTTGCCCCTATTTTTGAACCAGCTTTGTCCCTATTACCGAACTCGCCCCTATTTTTGAACCACCAGGTACCGGACCTTTCCGGCAGCCCGCTCTGTCCGTGTCCCCACGCGCCGTGAGCCAGTCTGGTTTTGTTGATGCTTGAGTGAACACTAACCTGCGCTCTCATTCAAACATTTTACGATTATTTCATTGTGTTTAGTGCTTGTGGGACTGTGAAACAAGCTACAATGGGAGCAATGAAACTTGCTAGTGGTACCCCTGTGGAAAAGAAAGTGAGAAACACCATAGATGTGAAGAAGGAAATAATACAGAAGTGGAATGATGTCCAAATGTTTGTGGAGAAGTACCACCCTGAGCAAGCTGAAACAAGCCATCTTTGCAACAAGTTCAGTGACAGAATCATGTCCCATTTTAGGGAAACCTTAGAGGCACCAGAAACAGAGGACTGTGGACAGTTATTTTGTGAGACAGGGGTCCAGTGACTCTCAGGCTGGTCCTAGTGGCATTAAGGGGGCTACAGGGCAAATTTCGTAACTCGTTTATTTACCGTCCGATTTTCTCCAGTTTTGGTGCACAAGACAAAGTGTTCTCACTCTTTCTTGAAAATATTTATAAAAAATATACCTCAAACAACAACTGAGAAAAGACTGATTTACTGAAAATGCCCTTGATGTTGATGTAACTCTTATATGCGGCTACGTAAGGTGGTTTGGACACTTGGTGCCGAGAGAACAATGCTAATACTAATTCGGACCGTAAGATTTCCCTCTAAATACCTTATCGTTATTTCACAAAAAAATAAAGTTTGTTAGTATCTGGAATATGGCAAAAAAATCTGCCCTTTACTCCCACATAACTCCCGAAGTATTTGGAATATTTCCAAAAATTCTACGGTCAAAATAAGAGAAATCATTATTCTACAATATCCGTGAATATTATTCCATTTAATTAAGTAATAAAGGACCCACATCAAATTATAGGTGAATAAGTTACTTCCGAGATATCGGCCGGGAACGCCGGCCGGCCCCGTCTCAAAAAAAAAAAAAAAAAAATTCGCGAAAATCGCGTTTGTTTGGGTGTATTTCTTAGTAAACTGATGTTCTAGTGCAGTTAGCCTCTAAACACCGTTTTCTCTTACTCAGAGACGACAGGGTGACCAGTTACACTTTTATATCGAAATATTCCCGATAATCTCTGGGCCATATTATGGCCTATTTTATTCAGTCTAGAGTATATAACATGTTTGTATGTTATTTAGAGTGTTTATTATATCATATTAGATCAATTCTGATAGACAAATAAGCCGTAGAGTTGATATATAAGCTGATATAAGCGAAATAATGGGTGATTCCTGGCTGGCACCTCGGGAGCAGGAACACTGCTGATCGTTCCCGTCTGGTTCCCGGTAGTCACTAAGTCTGCCGATAAGCTCCACCTACTGTTTTATGATGCCAAATAGTCAGTTATTATATTAGAAAGAATAATGCAAGAAAAGGCGATAAAAAACAAGAAAATAACTCCAAAAAATATATAGGCCGTGAGCAGACTCGGTACCAACATCGCCGTCACCATACCTGATATAAATGACTATAATTTCTTGTAGAAACGTCGTAGAACATTCATTCTGGTACCATTGTGTTGCCAAAGAGTTGAGCTATTTTTCAGTATATATAACTCAATTTCCATATTTTTTCAATTTTTCGGTGAGCGCGCGCGGAAAATTGCCCGCCTCCCCCCTTAAAAGACAGAGAAGGGAAGTAACCCCAGAGAGGGCTTTGATACCTGAAGTCCTCATGGAGGGGGATTCTCCTTCCAAACACTAACCCCAACTCCTTCTCTTGTCCTCCTTCCTATCTTCCAGATGCCATCACCAATCTTCAATAAAGGTAAGTAAAATGTTATATGTTTATTTAAATTTATTAATACATAATTGAACACTATATTTATTATGTGTATGTAAAACTATAATTAATCTCTATAAAATGTATTTTTTTTTTTTTGTGAATCTTTTGGGTTTCTGGAACGGATTAATTGTATTTCCATTATTTCTTATGGGAAATATTGCCTCGCTTTTCAGACTTTTCGAATTTAGAACTAACTCCTAGAACGGATTAAGTTCGATATTTGAGGTTCCACTGTATATACACACACCCCTCTGGGTTTTCTTTTATTTTCTTACTAGTTCTTGTTTATTTCCTCTTATCTCCACGGGAAAGTGGAACAGAATTCTTCCTCCGTAAGCCATGCGTGTTGTAAGAGGCAACTAAAATGCTGGGGGCAAGGGGCTGGTAACCCCTTCTCCTGTATAAATTAATAATAAATTTAAAGAGAAACTTTTGTTTTTCTTTTTGGGCCACCCTGCCTCGGTGGGATACGGCTAGTTTGTTGAAAGAAAGAGAAAGAAAAGAAAAGTTAAGGAGGTGCTAAGATACAGTGAATATGAGGGGATGCAGGTGTTATTCTACTTTTGAGTACATTAAGCATATAGTTCTGCTATTTGCACCTAGTATTGATGCTCATAGTTTCTCTAAAGAATGAATAAGCATAAAACCACAGTAGATAAGGGCATTTTGGTAGAGATTATTGTCAAAGGTAACACTGCTAATTTAAAAATGTTGAAGCCACCAGTACAAGTTAATTTTTTTTACCTATTAATTAATATCACTGATAATGCTAAATTGTGAACTTGAATAGTTTAGTAGTACTGTAATTTTAACAATGTATCTTCAGTTCTGTAACTTCTTGGAGTTTTCTATGTATCCCCTACTATGTTACGACATAAAATATCCATACTGCACAGCCCAATAATGCCTATACCTGCTTCCAGTTATTTATAATGGATATTAATAATTTTGAAAAAATTTCTCTTAAAATGGGAAGTAGAGTAGATTTGAAATTCTGCATAAGAATTAATATGTATTTAGTCAAATTTTCTAAATTGGTTGGGTCTGTCATCTGCAAATTATTGTTGTGAGCATAATGTCTTTCAGAGACAATACAAAAGGATGCTCCAAATTATTTAATTTGTGTGTTTTGTATGTAGAGGAATAGGGACTTGAGGTTAGCATTGTGACCAAATTTTGTATATATGATGTATGTAGTGAACTTAAGCCATTTGCTTATTTAAGCCATTTGCTTAAATTTTTACTGAGTTTTCATTTCCTATTTTAAAATACATATGTATTTATTTAGTTGCAGTTTTTGCTGTATACTCAATCAGTATAGCAGTTTTCTCCAAAAATGTCCGATTCCCTGAATGTACTGTGTTCAAATTCTTTTTCATGGTATTTGCCAGTTTCTTAAAATACAGTTCAGAAAGTTTAATGATAAAATGATTAAATAAATATTGTGTTATGTCACATTGACAAGCCTCCCTTCAACCAAGCACCACCTTTGAAACCCTGACCCAATTTGTGTAATTGTTCTTTTAGATTACTATACCAAGTTCACTTTTTTTTTTTTAAGTAAGATTTGCTCTGCTTCATTACTAAGTGGAGCTTATTCCTCCAGGATTTCTACACTCATTACCTAAGTTCTTAATGCATCGTGGCTGCATGAGGAGAAGCTGTCTGGGTTTGCTAAATATTAGCCTAGTGAATGAGGCACATGAGCTACTACTTTTCCTTATTTTTTTTTTATACATATTTTCTTACCTGATAACTATATATATTATATATATATATTATATTATATATATATATATATATATATTATATTATATATTATATATATATATATTTATATAATTTATATATTATATATATATATTTATATATTATATATATATATTTATATATATTTATATATATATATTTATATTATATTTATATATATATATTTATATATATTTATATATATATTATTTATATATATTTATATATATATATTTATATATTTATATATATATATTATATATTTATATATTATTATATATATTTATTATATATATTTATATATATATATTTATATATTATATATATATATTTATATATATATATTATTTATATATATATATTTATATTTATATATTATATATATTTATATATATATTTATATATATATATTTATATATATATATATATATATATATATATATATATATATATATATATATATATATATATATATATATATATATATATATTATATATATATATATATATATTTATATATTTAAAAAATTCTGGCAGTGATAAGAAGACATTAAATACAAGGAAACCTCTATAAGTACAGTAGATCATTTCACCCCTGGAGTGGGGGAGGCTTTTATTAAGTATTGTGTACTGATAAAGGTTGTACCCACCCTTCCCTCTTGAGTGAAATGTTGTAAAAATGAAGGCTCCCCTGAATTTAGTGTCTTCTTGTTAAGTAAAAGGATACTAGGGCAACTAAAGCAACAATTTATTGTGTCAGCGTTTCACTCTACAGGAGCTTTGTCAAGCCAGCTTGACAGAGCTCCTGGAGAGCAAAATGCTGCCACAATAAAATGTTGCAATTAATGCAACATTTTATTGTGGCAGCAGTATGTTAAGTAAAAGGACACTAGTGCACCTAATGTCCTTTTACTTAACATATTGCTGGTAATTCTACTAACTTTAATAGTGTCTTCTTACCACTTGCTGGCATTATATGCCTAATGCATACACATTCTGGCAGTGACGAATTTGTACTTTACTGTACCTGATAGTTTATAGCTTGAATTAAATTATTCCTCATACATAATGATTACTTTGTAATTCTGTGCAAGTGAAAACTTTATTTAGTTTATTATATTTAGATTGGAAAATAGCTTAATCATGTATAATACTGTAATGTCTTTGGACTTGTGATCAGTACGAGATGTAATTTTGTAGTAAATATGTGCGTGCTAAATCATTTCACCCGTCACTTGTAGGAAATTCAGGTTAATGTAATATCGTCTATTTCTTCCTTATTCCAGCTTGTGTAGAAAAATAAATATTTGTTGTTTCTTAACTATAAGTACATCAAAAAGGAAGGTTAAGGAATGTTAACAATTTGAAATTTGTGACAGATTGAGTCAACAAAGCCTGGAGTTACTGGAGCAAATGAAGGTGTCTTAGCAAACTTCTTCAATTCCCTGCTTAACAAGAAGGCAGGAACTAATTCACCTTCACCTGGGCCCATAAAAACAAATGGTATGTAGTTTACAAAAAAAAAAAAAATTTATTAATTGTTGAGATGCTCTTTTTTTGTCTTTGTAATGAGACATTTACAGCTGCATCAGATAAACAATTTTATACATGTGCAGAGTATACTAGGTTGTCTGCTTTTAGTGCCAAAGGCTCATAAGTTGCACTTGAAACATTTATCTGCCATCTGAAATCTTTCACAAGGGTGTTGAATGTGTGATATATGAATAAAACTATAAATCTAGAGATCACTGACTAATATGTTGGGCTATGCTCATAGACATGTTTGATTTTTACCTATTGTGAACTATATTACTTTGGGGAAATGTAGGATTTTTAGTTTCAATATCCACCTTTCCCAAAGCTTCACTTACAGAAACACACACAAACCTTATACATGTGATCCATTTTTGAGTATGCAGTGCTGGTGTGGATTTCTCACCTAGTAAAACAAACTTGTGTGTAAATGAGTGTATGAAGAGGGTTGCCTGAATTGAGGGGACTAAGCTATGAAGAGAATGCAAGAACTGTGTCTAACATCACTGAATGAGTGAAAGAATGATTAAATATGATCATGACATTGAATGCCATGGGGCATAGACAAGGGATATAGTAATAGGCTTCATTGTTGGAGATTACTTACCCAAATGAGCCTATGTTACATCAGGAAGAATTTCAACATTAATGTGTTAAAGAAATGGGCAGGTAGTGACAGTGACTGTGAGCTTGCATACCAGATCAAAAATAGATTTGACTGGACAGTCACATCAGTTGTTCAAATGTTAGGAGGTAGAACAGAGTTCGAGCTCACAACCTGCAAATGAAGACCTTCCTAATCAATATACCAAGAAACAAAGTGGAGCTGATTAACTGGCAGGGTTGTATCCTTTGATTCTGATAGGGTAACGAGTTAAGGGTGTGCATAGGAGTCAAGATTACCGAGTTCTGATATTCTACTACTATATAAAGTAAAACTGAGATTATTATTAAAAATAAGCTATGAGGAATGAGATGGTTTACAACTACAGTGACTGGGTTTAGCACTTTGACTGTTATTAACAAATTCAGTCAGACACCGTAGCTTAACAGGGAAAGATCTCTAGAAATTATGAAAATCTTGCAGTCTGAATGCAAAGAAGCATTTCTTATTTGCAAGGCAACTGTTAAAAATCACGAAGAACCACTGGTTTGGTGAGCAAAATAAGGATGGATCAATCTGGAACAAAAAAAAAGGAGGGGGGGGGGAATTATGAAGCCCACCAAATGCCATGAAACCTGATTATGAGAGCCAGAAATTAATGTAACATAGTCAGGGATTGAAATAGGAAGATGCTTTAATACACTGTCATTCATACCAGCCAAATCAAAAGTAGAGCCAAAGCTATTCTGCAGCTGGATCAGAAGGAACAGTATCTGTATGGGATCTGGTGATTAGGCTTATTAACAGGGTACTACTCATTACTAATGATCAGTGGCTGCTTGTCAAAAAATTGAATGGGAGGACTGCATGACTGAAGCATCATAGAACAGCAGTTTGTAATTTTAGACAATACACTTCTGTTTTTTCAACTTCTTCATTGTGTTTCGCTATCAAAATCTTGTAATGCTGAATCAATTCGAGCTGCAATGTTCACTTTACCCAGCATTGAGAAATCAGTAACGTTATTTACATGCTTGGTTGACTGCTTATGTTTCATTACTTTTTATGGTAAATGCCTCAAGTCAGTCATGCTACTTTTTTGTCCATGAAGACTCGCCAACAAATAGTAAGCATGGAAAACAGAATAAAGTGTTCTTTTCGTCATAGCCGCAAAGCCATTCACTTTTCTGGTTAACACTGATGTTAAACTGGTGCATATATTCTTTGCTCCTACTTGTACTTTTTTGTAGAATGGATAAAACTGGTGTATGTTGTCCTTTTTCTTTTATCTTTACTTTTTCACTTAAAATCTACTGCAAAAAGTTAATACTTTGTAAATATTTAACTGAGTTTACTCTAGTTTTCACTGCCATTGCTTATCAAATGGTAATTAAATTTAACACTTTTGAAAAGAATTTAAACGGCCACTAACACCAATACCGGCCACACATTACAATGCGCATACTCACAGCGTAAACAGACCGATTGCAGTTGGGTGTGTGCTGCATTGAATGCAGCTCCTCGCTGCCAGATGTAACACCATTAATACCTATACTGTTGTTCTGTATCAGACTTCTATTTTTAATAATTTTTTATCTCGTTTCAAGAACAACAAAAAAAATATAAATAAAATTTGCTTATAAATACATTGAAAACAACATAAAACAGATATTTCCTGTAGTATATTTGTCAGTTGCACATTATTTTAGCGTAAGGTTGCAGTGAGGATCCGGGGGGACTGCAGCTCTGCAGCTCCTATGGATGAGCCACCACTGTTAATGATGCATGCAAAGAACACGATAGAATATTCCATTTTTTCAAATCTTAATAAGGGACAACACCATAAATAAGAGAAACTACACTGAATGGTTAAACATTGAAATTGCTAGTGGACATGAGACTCCTGAATGAACTCTTAATCATGTGCTTCAAAGGCAAGGTGATTAAAATAAATGGTACTTTTCCATTTTTTTTAACACTGGCTGTCTCCCATCGAGACAGGGTGACCCGATAAAAAAGAAACACATCCACCATCACTTGCTCTTATCACTATCTTGGCAGAGGAGTGCTGATTCTACAGTTCAGAACTGCAAATTTCCCTCCTCTTCCTTCAGAGTGCAGGCACTATAATTCCCACTTCCAGGACTCAAATCTGGCTAACCAGTTCCCCTGAATTCTTTCAGGGGAACACAGTCACACACTTGCTAGAGGTCTAAGCCCCTTGCATACAAAAACCTCCATTATCCCCTCCCTCCAGCCTTTTTTAAGACAACCCCTACCCTACCTTCCCTTCACTAAAGATTTATATGCCCTCCAAGTCATCCTGTTTTCTTCCATCTTTTCTAAATGTCCAAACCACCTCAGTTCCCTCTTCAGCCCTCTGGATAATACTTTTAGTACTCCACTCCTCCTAATCTCTTAAGCTGAGAATTCTCTTCAGCAAATTGTTAGGAATTGGGAAATTACAATAAGAATTGAAGAGGACAAATGTAATTCCTGTAGGCAGTAAAGACTGGGGTCCTAAACTAATACTCCTGACAACTACACTGTGCCAAGTGATGGAAATAACACAGAAAGGACTAATAGAACACTTAAAGAACGTGTATTTCCTCAGAGCACCGACATTTTTTCAGGAAAGCAAATTCTTAAAAACCTAATGTAGGCCTATGACAGACTGATGGGGACCAGAGAGACAAAAGGATGGATGGACTGCATATTCCTAGATTGCAAGAAAGTATTTGGCAGTGTCACAACGGACTACAACACAAATTGAAGATGCAAGATGTTGATAGGTAAAGTAATAGCATGGATTAAGGTACTACTGTACTTACATCTGAATGACAGAAGATAAGAGGAATTAGTGAGTGAAGATGTATCAGGATAAGAGAGTGCAACTAGCTGGAGGTCACTCAAGGATTAGGTACTAGGCACCATAATGTTCTTGCTATATGTTGACAGCTGCTAATGGTGGTAAATTCCTCACTACCTTTGATTGCGAATGGTGCAAAAAATTTTGAAATGGAATCAAATGGAAGACTGCAAGAGGAGTTGATCAAGCTATGGAAATGGTCAAAATGGTGGCTACTAGAATTAACCAGAGTAAATGCATCTAAACTCTCCTTGAAGACATTTTGAGCAGCAAAAGGTATAATCAGTACTTGTGTATGCAATGCCAGTATGAAACCCTCATCTTGCCAAGCAAAAAAATGAAACCTAAAAAATGCACAGAACTTATCAGAGAAAGAAAAAACTGAGCATTTACCTTAGGGCATAGACAAGGTAGATAAGGGCTCTCTAAAAAAAAAAGTTGCACATTCGACTGAGCCAGAGATATTAAAAAGCATGTCAGCTTAATGGTAAAAATGCAGAACCAGCAGCACCATAGAAAAAGCATGCATTTCATGCAGTGATTCAAACTTAGAAATGATCAGCCTATTTATACGTCAGTTAAACTAGTTGATTGAAGGGCTGGCTGACCTAGAGCTGTTTCATTTAGGTTTATTAACTTACACAGATAACTTGTACTTAGGAGACTGAAACTTATGACGATGTTTCATATTAACTTCGACCATTAACAAGTCGCACAGAAAGTGAGAAATGAAGGGGACCTGAATTTTTAATTTGTTTTTTTAATTACATATAGTGACCAAAATATATGCTATGTTGAGAGTTTACCTTCATTAACAATGCACTCCATGTGAGACTAATATGAAATATGCAATGTATTTTTGGCTAGAGCATTTGAAAAAAATTATTAAAAGTGCTTCAAGATATTTACAATTCTTTGAGCAGAACTTGGCTTATGGAAACTACATGGGACATTGGTTATTGCAAAATTTGACACATTTCCAAGGTAGAATGATGAAAGCTTAGGTACAGTATTAAAATACAGAACTGTATTTTGCTGTTTTTGGTATTGCTTCACAAAGTATTTAAGAATACAATGTGTCTTTTAACCCATTCAAACTTACCTGTCCATGTATTTTGATCTCATATAGAATCTTCCCTAGACATCTCGACCACTTCCCAATGTTGAAGAAATTCAAAGCAGCACCTGAAACATCTGTTGAAGATTACCATGTGCTGGTTTGGATGTCATGTAAGTGAAGCAGTCACCATTTATTTACAGTATTTCATTGTGAATAAAGAATTAGGATTCCTTGGTAAGATAATATGAGGGAGAAAGTAAAATGAAAGCTAAAGGAAACAGCTACAAGTAAAGGCAAATTGGAAAATGTTCTATAGAAACCATGATTTAAAGATGTAGGAAAACTTTTTTTTGAAGGAGTTATGTAAAGGTGGAGAAAATGTAACTGATAAATACAATGTTTGTGCCTTGAGTATTGCCAGGAATGAGCAAACACCA